ACTAGTACATGGTTATGCTTTTGCTTATGAAGCAAGCAGTCGATCTCATAGGGCAAAATTTGGATAAATTTGAGTTGACATATGGGTGCTTACTACAAGAACAAGTTCACTGAACTTGACTTGATATAAAAATGCTATATGATAGTTCATATAATGTCTATAGCTATATTCTCATGTGATGGTCGTATAAGTGATTCTTTAACTTGAGATTATTTATGATCATATATGATGAATTTTATATTTGGACTTTACTTATGGTTGATTGCTTCTAGTTTATAAGTGCACAGATCAAGTAATAAAATGAAAGTATTCCAGTATCGTCTTCTAGGGGATATAGATTATGAATGTTGGGTTGTTCACAACTACAAAAGTTGACAATCTAAAATCTTATATCTAAATAATTAAAAATTTAAGGGTTGATTGCAAAATAAAAAAAAAAAAGGTTGAAAGCAATATAGGCTTGAATTTTGACATCACTAACTATCACTTGGGAAGTAAAAGAATATAGCCACAAAGAACTAAAGAAAATAATTTGAAAAATAAGAACATTTGATGAAGGCCAAATAGTGTAAGGTTGCATAAAAGAACAAAAAAACTAAATTCCATGAAACCTTGTAAAGAAAAGCAATGATCTAAACTTGTATTGCACTAAAGTAGAAAAACTTGAATCAAACTTATAAAAGATTGTTATGTCGAAGTTAAGAAAGTAAAAAAAAAATTGAAATTAAAAGTAATGAAAAAGAGATATTGAAAAAATACTTCTTTGAATTGAAAAAAATAATTTAAGGAATAAAACTTTTATAGTTATTGGTAAATTTGTCATTTAAGCCAATAATTAAACTAAACTAAAAAGAAAAGAACTAAAAAACTAAAAGGAGAGAAAAAAAAAAAAGATAAGGGATGATGGAATGGGATGAATGAATTCTTTATTTATAGTGAAGGATTTAGCTAAGGAGGATAGGATTACAAGAATTGAATTTAATTTAAATGCTAAGTGATAAAACTCTATCTTGATTTTCAAAGTTGCATGAAAAAGGTGGATTCGTACTTTTTGAAAGTGTTTGGCCAAATAGGATGTTTAGGAAACAATCTTGGCCTTTGATCATTGCTTGATGGAAACTTGATTAAATCTCCACTCTTAGTTCAACTAAGATGGATTTCAAGGCAAAATGATTTTCAGTGATGAACAAACTTTTGAGGATGTAGCTTGAAAATCTTCAACGAGATGAACAAAAAAATCCTTTTCGAACATAAACATCCTTGGTTGAATCACTTAGTGTTTTTCTAGGCTTGAAAGTCTTCATTTGATCATTATCTTTTTCTTGGATTTGAAATAACCACATGATAGAGTCTTTGTGCCTTGTAAATTACATGAAACTCTCTTTAAGATTGCTATGGGCGAATAGGATAAAGTGATAGAATCCTTGAAGTTGCAAACTCTTTAAAACTTGCATTATCCTTTCTTGTAAAGGTCTTGGTCGAATGTTAAAGGAATATCCCTATGCACTTCAAACACTTGCTTTGTAGCATGGTTGGATGAAGTTGGACCAATATGGTTTGGCTATAGGCTTTCAAGATAAAGTAAAAAATGTTCTTTGCATGCTTGGATTGCATGAAAATGAGCCCATAATCTTGAAACACTAAAAATCACAAAATAAGCATTGAGGCACCAAAAATCAATAAAATTTTAAATTTTTACACCCATTTTAACATATAAAAACATTATATGTTTAGGTACTATCAATGATTCTAACCAAGAATGCGTTAGTCGAGTATTATAGAGTATAACATGAGGTATATGAAAATGCATGAAGTAATTAAGATGTGATTCATCACTTTGTGTGATAAAGAGAGTATCTTAATTAGTCTTGATTGAATTAACTTGATAAATATTTGGCCAAAGTGAAATAATATTTTAGAATTGTTTTAAAACTAATTTGTGAGTTAATGTCAAGGACAAGACTTAACATGGTTGAAAAAGATTGAGTAGACACTAAATCATACTTAATATTCAAATCGAGATACTATATGATGAAAAAAATATTAATTATACATAGAAACCATTCATGGATATATTATCAAGTTATATTAACTTTTTTTTTAATAATTGAGGGTCATGGCAAAGAAGTTAGCATTGATCATGATTTATAAACATAAAATTGGTTAATTGGAGAATTAGTGATAAAGATAAAAAAGTTTGTTTCAACTATAGCCGAATACTAAGGCTTAATGCTTATATTTATTGACAACATACTAAAAAACTTAATGGGTTACACATAATAGGACAATTATGAAAGATTAAAATTAGAACAAATTAAGTTTGATTTAATTTGATTTTGGTATGATAAAAAATAGAGGAAATAAAAAATAAAAGAAAGAGTTTCTCTTGTTTGGTACATTCGGTTAGTATAGGGTAAATTGTGAAAATTTGTAGTCCAAGCATTAAATATAATGTGGCTGAATGCTTCCCTTATAAAAAGAACATTAGACACCCCTTTTTGTAAGAGTAACCAATCAAGCATCTAGAGATCACTCAAGAAAATATAAGAGGTCTTGCAAACACTTACTAGTTATAATCTGGTTTTGAGTTTACCAAACCTTAAAAAAAAGTTTTTTTATAAGAATTCATGTGGATCACCATTAGAATCTATTTGGAAGATCACCAAATTGAACTAAGAGATTTTCGACATTCAAAGTAACACCTTTAGTCGAAACCTATGTATGCTTGTGAAGTTGTTTGTTTGCATAATCTTATTAATTGATCTTGGCTTTAACTCTGATAATGATGCATAATTTCCTTCAGACAAAACAGCATAGTGTATAAAAAAAATCACCAATAGTGCCAATAGCTACAAAATAAAACAAAATTGGACTGTAAAACGTTCATTCTAAGTCAATATTAGTAACATTGAAATTTGCATCTCAGCAGTTAATGGCAAATATCAATAGTTTTATTTTATTATAAGACTAGTTCAATAAACTATAATACTATAGATCTTTTCAATATTCATAGATTTGTAAAAACTTTAAAAGCAACTAAGTGGATTCATGTGCAACATTATTACTAATATGAATGATTAGATGTAAAGTGAGATAAATGAAGAGTATAAGAAACTTTTCTTACTAGAAAATATAATTAGAGTTCAATTAAATCTTAAAGAGAAGAATCATATGGCATAGCCATATATATATTTTTCAATAAAAAATAATAAATTAAAACTGTGATGAATCAAGAGATATGCTATCTTTAACTTGAAGAACCTATAGGCTCAACTAACTCCAAGCAAAATAGCTTAAAACAAACAAAATATATTTAACTTATTTTATATAGATGATAAATATAATTAATTATCAATAAAAAATATTTTTCATTTTTTCTTGAAGCAAGGGATCCACAAGTTTGTATTTGTTCTTTTTATGTAGAAACATACACAAATAATTAGTTACCTTTGTCAAAAGATAACTTCAGTACTTGAGATTTTGCTGTTAAAAATGATCTTGGCTTCCATGTTATTATTGTTTATTTCAATGCTTAAAGAAAAATAGCTTTAAGAAGATGCTAATCTATAATAGATCAAGTCAAAACTCAATAAAAAAAGGGGGTTTTCAAGTAAACTGTCACAATTGCTAAACATTTTGACATAAGTTAATCTTTTTTTTCTAAAGGAGAAACTTACAGAGACTTATCCAAGTATGATTCACAAACCAACTGGTAGATGATGCTACTGATGAATTGTTGGGGCCTGAAACATCAATTGACAGAGAAAGGAAAAATGTGTTACTAACTTAGGTTTTTTGAGATTGGATGAAGATTGAGATTAAGCCGAAATAAAAAAAGATGAATGATCGAGAAAGGCGTCGCTTAAGAATTAGGATATCGATAGGGTGTTGGAATTGGAGGAAAAGTAAGCACCACTTGCTTAGGGGAGTGAGAGTGAATCTGAGAAAGAAAAAATGAAGTGAAAAATGCATTAGGGTTTTTTAAATTAGGTCTATTAAAGGTAAAATGACAAATTATTAATTAAAATAAAAAAATATATTAAAATATAAAAATTTAATTAAATTCGTAAATTATTCAAGTCGGATATTAAAATATTTGAATTTAGCTTGTTCAATAAGTTAAATTATTTAAGCTCAAGCTCAGTTCGAGAATCAATAAGCCAAATTTAAGTTTTTTTTAATTGAACTCAAATAACTTATGGGTATTGATGTATCATTTATACCTCTAAAGAGATATTATAATAATTTTAGTTGATTATAAAATAAGAGATATTACAGTCAATTTAAACACTGTCATTCAATTATCAAGTATTTAAAAGAATATTATGATTATTTTAAAAAAATTTATTTTATATTATTATATAAATATTAAAAATTAATTTACAATTATAAAATTTGATCAAATATAATAAAAGGAACATTATAATAATTTTAACTAATTAGAAGATGAAAAATATTTTCATAGTTATGATATAATATCATAATAATTTATCATTTATAGAAAAAGTATTTTCATCACTTAAAACATAAAAAGCATTATAATAATTTAATATTTATAGAAGAAATGTTTTTATCATTTAAAAAATATATTATAATAATTTATTATTAAAAAAAGTATTTTGTCATTTAGTATAGAAAAAACATTATCATTATTTTGGATTAAAAAGATAAAATAGACTTTTCACAAAAAATTACCATGTATAGTTTTTTCAATTTTTTTAATAATTTTGTTTTACTTTTAATTTTTTATATTTAAAAATTTTTATAATTTATTTTTGTATAAAATCAGATTATTTATTATTATTTATTATTTAATATAAAAATAATTTAATAATTTTTATAAATTTTATAAATTTTAAATAATTTAAAATTTTTATTAAATATAAATTGTAATTTAATAATAAAATATTTTAATTTAATAATATTTTACCCAATTCCATACCCACTATTAATTTTAATCTCAATACAAATTAATATTTCTTCTATTATTAATTTTTCAATCTTATCAAAATCAATAAATTATTTGCTTTTATCAAAATCAATAAACGATTTTCAAATTTACCAAAAATCAGACCTTCAAGATTTGCAGATATTCCTCTTGAACAATCCTTATTCCATGGGATAAATTAACAAGATTATAGAAAGTGACAAAAAAGACATGCGACGCTGAGATTTGATAGCTTTTCCACTTCTTTTAATCATAAAAACCTTAGTGGGAATCTCAAACTTCAAACTTTTTAAACTGAGATATTGAGATAAACATCATGGATCAGTAGTGTTACAAAAAGGCACGGTTCTTCGTTCCTAGCTGGCTGCTATAGTTGTACATAAAATGATGACCACCCAAAATGCCTCGTTTGAGGTTGAAATGATAGAGAAACCTTGTGCCAGAGATGACGGAAGAACTTGGTTGCGGCGAGAATTCCGGTTTAAAGCATCAGACCATAACACTAAGGCCAGACTATGCCAACAGAAACCATTAGTTCTTTTGGATCTTCCTCTACAATCTGTGTCTCAAACTTGTTGACATCATTTCTCAATGGTTTCTTGGCAGTAGAAGGCATTGAAATGCCGCAAGGAGGAAGAGGAGAAGAAGAATAATTAGAGGGAAGTGGTGTTACAAAAGCAAAGTTTGGTTCATGGTGGCGAAGAAGTTCAGACAATAAAAGTACAAGAGAAGCCATGGAAAGAAAACCAAAGAATGATCTTTATTAGTGAACTGATCTTTTTCTCCGAAAGAAACTGGATTGCTTTGCTTATTACGGGTCTGTGACGAGGAAGCTGAACCAGTATTTATATTGAAAACATGATAAGAAAACGGTTGATGTTAAAAAGCAGTGTAGCTCATTGTTTTTGTCGCAACCTGTTTGGTTGGGTGTATTTATCAAAAAAAAAAGAAGGGGGGATGGAAAACCACGGTCAAATTCATGCTAGCCCCTTGTTTTTCAGGGCTGAATCTGCTGCTCTCGCTTTCCGGTTTTGTGGTTTTTAATGCGCCTTCAGGTTCTGGTATTTGGCGCCACTGTTTTATGGGTTCAAAAGAAAGTCAGCTAAGCTTTTTATAGTTCGTGTGTAGTTGTCAAGTGCCAAGTTTCAGCGCAAAACCATGAGTCACCAGCCAGTTGGTCTGCTGATGGTTGTAAATGTGTCGGTTGTTCGTCAAAAAAACATACTTAGATATGCGGCACCCATATTTTTCATCATCTCAAAACTTCTGCTATTAACTTAAAAAGATCTCTTGATTTAAAGTACCACAAACTATTGTTGTCATTTCTCCTCATTCCAAATTTATCAAGTTTCTTTTTGAATTTTTTCTATCGGACGTTGACTTGTAAAAAAAAAAAAAGGAAACTCAATAGGAAACTGGACCTGTAAGAACAGAGAAAAGGAAAGTCGTAAACACGACTTACCAGAACCCATTGCATTGAGATTAGAATGCAAAGCATCCTTTCGACTATAGGGAGGTTTCAGTCTCCAACAAGGCAAAAGTGTTTCTCTAATCCATAGTAACTGTTTCTGTAAATAATTTTAACATGAAATGTTAATACTAATTCAGACAACCTTTAAAAGAAAAAATAAGGCTGAATAAAACAACATAATCATTCTTGGACTAAAATCCTAGGAATATAATAAATTAAAAGGAAGAAAGCTTAATGTTTCTTTTTCTTGTTGTCTGGATCTGTGTCAATCCCAATGAAGTTGCGTTTCCTGGTTGTGTTCATGTAAGGTCTGATAACCCATTCAATCTGGGCCTCACTCTGGTCCATTGTTCCTAATTTTACCTGCAATATGTGCAAAGCCGAAAAAAGAAACAAATATAGTCAGTTGAATTTAAACAGCAAATATAGAGCACTCAATGATTTGATGAACCCAATAATAGCTACGTCTTGTAGTTTATTGAAATGGCATGATAGCTACCTGATAAAGCCGCAATTCAAACCTAGGACCAATCTCCTTCAGCTCAACTGATTTAGGACCTCCAGGTTTCTCATAAATATGATGCCTGTATGTTTACATGCTATCAGTAAGTGAGGATGAATGTTTATTAACGTTGAAGCGTGAGCAAAGCAATCTAAACGGTGTGTATCTACATTTAAAACAATAATTAATATGCAAGTAGAATGACATCCGGTCACATTTGATGAGTAAGCTTCACATAAGCGGTCCCTAGTCCCATGAAGTGGTTTGTCATCATTGGATGGCCACTGTAGATGACCATGATAACAGAAAATCCACAACTGACAAGTTGACTCAATCCAACATTTTGAGTGATTGACCAGAGGTTCTAAACTATGCATGATGAAGTTCAGTGGTTCCTTACCGTAGAATCCATCAAAATCTACAGAAGAGAACCAACCTGAATGAAATATAGTCAGACCGATTAGCAAAAGTCACAATTCGTTTTGTATCAGACTTTGGCACAGGGAATAGATGTTTTAGTATGTTTGCTGTCCTTTCACCCAGCTGCCAAAATAAAGAAAAAGAATGTTAGCAACATAAAATGTTACTCTTGGAGAAACGGAAAAGAATTATTATTAAACACTGAAATGGGGAAGCAAAAAGAGAAAAATTACTTTGCTCCATACAAGAAAATTTCTAACATAATTAACTGATAGTGAATGTAATCACGTTCAGCAGCATTCTACCAAATTACAGGATCCAACTACATTTTGAAAGATGTGATGCTAACAGACTCGTTTTTTTTTTTTTTTTGCTCAAGGCTACCTACAGAATTTCATCAGCTATAAATGTGTCTTTATACTTTATGTGCCAATCTGCATAAACATATAATAGATACATGAAACTCCATTAAGGAAATTTAAGCACAAAACAGTCTTTGTTTCTCAACCATCTATTACACATAAGTGGCATATATGTAAAATCATTAAAAGCACAACCCAAAAAAAAAAAAAATTCAAGTATGCACATACATAAATTGTACCCAATTGCATGGTATGCTCCTTAAAATATACAGGTAAAGCAATAAGAATACCTTGGTTTTAAAATTGTCAAGAATCAAATGTGGGTAAGCCTCCGGCATTGTTCCAATGGCTTTCTTGTCCTTAATGTCATGTCTTGTAACCTATAGGAAAACATTAAATTAAGAAAACAAGCATGGAAACAGAAGACAAAGTAAAGGACTGTGCAGTCTAAAGGACTCGTCAAATACTTGCCACATTGAGTAGTCCAAAGTATGCTGTGGGACCAAACGGTAGATGACTTATGATCAAACCATCTGGTACACCACGATGTTCATGAACCAAAATAACATCTGTAAACTCATGTGCACGGCAACTCTCAATAATTTCAGATATAACCTGCAAAAAAAAAAAAAGGAAAAGGGAATAGAAAATCACTTTCTAATTTTCACTAGAAAAGTTTGATGCCAAAATAAATTAATAATTTTATAATATGAAATAAGGTTGTCAGCGTTTGTTATAATGATCATGACTAGCATAACTGAGGAAACAGACCTAGCAGATGGCCTCTTTAGGAGAACTTTGTCAAAGAAGTGCCAAATATTAATATTTTGCTTACCATCAGTATAAAATATTTTCTAAAAACACTTCAAGGACAGTGAAAGTAGAAGACTAAAAAAGCATTAAACAGTGGTTCTATTTAAAAGGTGAAAGTGGCAAATCAATTACCATTCTGGACAAAAGACCAGCTTAAAAAGCTTGTCATGAGAAAATTGCATAAAGAAGTGTAATGGTGAAATGGTTCGAGGAAAAGATTGACTAAATGGAATGTTCAGCTTATTAATTCTATGTATATAGGATACAACTTTAATGTCAATTAATAAAATAAATAATCCTAAACACTGAACTAGCAATTTAGCCAATGAATGCATAATAAAAACGGTGCCACAACTGATAGTATTTACACATATATTAGATCCTCAAGATAAGAGAAGTAAAATAAAGACTTACCAGCCATTCAGCACATGCATCATAACAATAAGACAACTAATAGGAACTTAAGTAAGATGGCATATCCATAAAAAATGCACCAACCTGGCCGCCACGATTCATCCGCTCTGCATTAGGAAAGACAAACTTCAATTCCTGCAAGAAACCGTGCCATATGAATTAGAATTTGTGATCAAATTTGCATGCATAACATCGGGCAACAAATGTTATTTATCAACAAAATCGACAGAACCACCTTAACAAACTGTACAAGAGGAGCACTTGGATCCCGAGATGTTGTCAGCAAAATCTTAGGATCTCGTTGGGTTGCATTTGCATACTCATCATCAATATGAGTTTTGGGAACTAAAAATCCAGCATTTTTAAGCAGTCATATATCAGCACGAATCCCCAACAATGCCAAAAACAAAAATACAAAATATAACCAATATGAAAAAAAGTTCTTTTCTTTGGCTCCGGGAAAAACCAAAAATACCCAAATTAAAAAAAAAAAAAAAACATACCGGCAGTGTAGTCATCTTCAAGGTCAATTTCTTGGCGAAGCGCGGTCTCCTCATTCCGGAGCTCAGTTGGAATTGGTTTTCCCTCTACAGCCAAACCAAAAAAAAAAAAAAAAATTGAAAATTAAAATTAAATGATTATATAAAAAAGAAAATTTAATAGTACCATCAAGGGCTTCTTTGATCTTCCGTTTCTTCTCATAAAGCAAGCGCTCTTTGCCTTCCAAGCTCTTCCTATACAAATACTCTCTCCTCAATCTTATGTTTCTTCTCAACATTGTAATTTAATAAGATAGTACAAGAGTGACTGCCACTTCAGATTTTGCAGGGGTTTTTGTTTTCTAGGGTTTAGGGTTTTTTCGCAGTTGACAGATTGTTGAAGAAAAGAAATTACAGTCTTGAAATCGACGACGTTGGACTATTTCTTGGTCTGTGATATGCTGTGGGTGGTTTTTTCATTTGGGCTAATACTTGAGCTAGATTCCATTATGGGCTTATGTAGATGATTATTTTAAATTTGGCCCGGTCTAAAGATGATAAATCGGGTAATTAATCGACGTCGTTTTAAATAGAAAAACCTGTCTTTCGCAAAATCCTTTTTTTTGTCTCTCCTTCGTTGGACACTGCATAGCAGGCTAGCAGCGAAGCACCAAAAAAGAAAAGAAAAGAAAAAGGAGATGGGAAAGAAGGCAAAATCCTCAAGAAAAGGGAAAAAAGCATGGAAAGCCAACATAAGCACGGAATACATCGATGATTACTTTGAGAAATCCTTGAAAGATGCTCTGTCTGCATGTTCTCTTACTTCTGCTCCTACTGAATCCCTCTTCTTCATCGACAAAAATGTCTTTTTTTTTTTCTTAATCTAAATTTAGTTCCCTGAAATAGGTTTTTTTTTTTTTTCGTGTTTTACCGGATTTTTCTGTGGAGAGGAAGATTGAGAAGAAAAGAGAAAAGGTATTGCAAGTGGATAGTGTGTTGAAGAAAAACTCTTTTGTTGAAGCAGTTCCATCTTAAAAGCAGAAGAATTCTAAGAAGAAAAAGGAGGCTTTGAAGGCTACAGATTTTGTAGTTCAAGATGTTCCCAAGGTGAGAAATAGTTGAAGTAATGCTGAACTTTGTTGATTTTTTTTTTTTTTAAACGGAGATTTTCATTTGTTTCGATATAGAATGACTCTGCCCCTGATTCTAGCATGGCTTCCATATGGGGAAATGAAGGTCTGATAAGTTTGAATTTTTATCTTCCTTTGCCATGAGTTTTTTTTTTTTTTGGATTACATACTAAATGTGATATTTTTCTTCAGGTCAACATAGTGGCAAAGCTGGACAGGTGTCTAAACATTTGAGTATTCCTGCTGTAGAAGTTGAGCTCCAGGGTGTTCATACAATCCCTCATTTGAAAGTCAATAGATGAATTTTTTGGAACACGTAATTATGTATATTGTCTGTCTCATTGTTTGCTCTACTCTGTATGAGGTGACATATTGTATATTTCTTCAATCCCAATCCAGGATTCAAGCTTTTGCAGAACAAATGCAAAGTGTCAACAAGAATGAGTTGGGACCTCAGCCAGTTCCATTAACAGTTGTGGTTGAAGTGATTGACGAAGACGATGTGAGTGTCTATTGTTCTATTCATCTCTGATTTATTCTTCTTACATGCGATGTTTGACACAAATAAATGATGGTTATGAATTCATATTACATTTTAGTTTGAAATTCATTTCTAGAAATATTAACAAAACTATTGTTTTTGTTAGAAATGCTTTATGGCGGCAGATGATGGAAGTGATGATTGTATGAATGAGGAAATTTTGAGTGAGAATGAGGAATTTGAGTGAGAATGAGGAAAATTTGAGTGAGAATGAGGATCCTGCAACTGAGAAAAGGTTGGTTAATTTTAATATCTTGTTCACTGCTATTATTGGATTGCTATCTGTTTGTTATATTATTTTGCCTTTCAGGAAAAGTATTGGTTTTTGAAGGCTATACTGGAAACTTGCAGATTTGAATGTACTGTGAGTAGACAAATTAAACTTGAAAAGTTCATCTTTTTTCTATTATTTTGAACTCTTGATCTATGTATTAATTCTGCTTTTTATCATGCTGCATGCCTTCCAAGACGAAGAGGGTGACTCGAGTTGAGTTGAATAAGAGAGCTAGAAGGAAAGAACTGCAAAGAATAGAAGCAGAAGCTAAAAAAGCAGAGGAACTTTCCAAAGACATTGACAGGTATATTTAACATTGTTCTCTGCCTATCGTTTATTTTATTAAGGAGTATATTTTTATTATCTGTTGGTTCTTCTGGATGCAGCTTGCCAGCTATCTTACAAGAAATAGCCAAAGAGGATGAGGAGAAGCAAAAGAAACATCTTTGAAGGGTCATAGCTAAGCAAGAAAGACTGAAGGCTTGTCCACCACACTTGGGAAAATACATGTAAGAGCTTTTACAATAATTTCTCATTTGTCATCTATTTCCAATTGATATTGGCATCATTGATAATATATGTTTAGATTCTCATCTTAATGGCAATGACCAAATTTCACCACTTGTTTTGATATCTAAAATAAAATCTTTTATGATGTCTTTGAAATATTTTCCATCCTAATGTTCTGTTTCACTTCCTGCATTGAGTTATGTGACAGATAATGCTATACTTTGTCCACATTTAAAGGAATTAGAAACATTGGCAAAAAAATAAAGGAATTAGAAACAGACAGCTGATTGATCTGTATTTCATAATTACAGATTCCAGCCTGCTCCTCCTCAAGTCCTGTTATCTGAAGAACTAACTGGATCTCTATGCAAGCTTAAGGCTCATGTTTTTAATAATCTATTTAATTTCGAAATTTGCTTTTAGTAATAAAAATGAACTGTTTCCCCGGTTTTTTGGGTACTGCATGAAAAGTTGTCCTACTCTTGCAAGAGATGGATTTAATTCCCCCATCAGCCAAGAGTGGAATGTCAGTTGAATTTGATAATCTTTAGTTTGTGTTTGAGTGAGACATGAAACCTATGTGACATGGTATTTTATACGAATCCTACTTGCACTGTTTTCTAAAATGCTCATGCATCTGTCACAAGCAGGAATGGATTTCCTAATAAACCTGTGGTTGGAAGGACAATAACAAGGATATCCAAGTTTACTTGGAAAACTAAGAAGGGTTCAATTACTCAGATAAATTTAACATCTACCTTGATGGCATCAATTTTTTTCGAAGAAATATTTTTTGCCAGTCATTCTTGTAATGTTTAATTGCACATTTGAGAATGACTCGTGGATGTTCCTGTGGAATACAGGAAATAGAGAGGTTTTGCTTCCAAGGATCTTGACGGTTCAATTTTTTGGTGAGGGAAATCAGAAGACATTTCACATGATGCCCTCAAAGTGCGAGAAAAATGCCCTTAATGGAAACCAAGCCTGATCCATCTGCAGTCTCGGAACGCCATCCTGTGTTTTATGATAGTTAAATTCACATATAGTTGTTTTCTATTGTCTATTTACGTTTTGTGACCAAAGAAAGTGTTATGTCCTGAAGGATAAATATAATGATCATTCTAAAGTCAAAATTTTGTCACAAGAGCGTCATTTCTAAGTTATTCTGAGTTAGCTGAATGAGCTAAATTTTCAGAAAACAAGCAATATTCTGCGATTCTGTGCCTTGTTCTAAATCTATTGACTACTGTCTCTGGATATCGGCTTGGGTGTCTGCTTCCTTGCGGACTTCTCTGACCTGATTCTTATTTGTTTCGTTTAACCCATTAACTGATGCCTGAAATTATGACTACTAAGTACCAATGATTAACAGCTAAAACAAAAATTTTGGACACATTCAGAGAAATTGATAATTACTTAATATAAAATTTTTTCAAAGAGGATAATCTGGAAATAAGAGAAAATATTTTTAATTCAGATGTTACCTCTTAAGAAAAATAAAATAAAAACTCTGCGTAAACATTTGAGCTGAGTTAGTTCGATTTTTTTTCTTTCTATAAATTCGGAAAGAACTAATTGCCTCATTCATTGCCTTTGCTTCTCCGGCCTCCCCTACACTTTTTACCCGTTAGGGAAAAGAAAGTTCAAAGCAGGAAAACACTGCCTATTCATAATCTTTTGAAGCAATGTGTCATCTTTCATCAAAAGCAACGCATTGTAACACTACGAAACGGCGGAACACCTAATCGTTGCTCTCCGACACCGAACATCCCAACAAAAAGAAAGTACGCTATTTTCATTTTCAGCAGTTGAGTTCGAACGATGCGCGCCTTAGCAGCCCAGCTTAACACTGTACACCGCTCAATTTCCTAATCCTTTTTCTTTTTTTTTTTTTTTTTTTTTCTATTTCCACATCCAATTTTCTTGTTCACCCTTTCCCTCCCCCTCCCTCCCCCCCCCCATTTTTTTTTCTCTCTGTAGTTCTTGTTCAAAAGAAAGCCTTGGAATGTACACTCTCGAAATTTCTCATCATATAATGGAAAAGGTTACTCTTTTTTCTGTTTTTTTTTTTTTTTTAAAGGTTTTGTATTCAATGCTTGGTCAAATTAAATGCCTTTTCCTTTTGGTTGCAGATGAGGCCTATCTTGAACAGGAAGCTGAGCGGAAAGTAGGATGGTTGCTGAAACTGTTCTTTGCTGGCGCTGCTACTTTTGTTGCTTAGCAATTCTTTCCCTACATGGGTATTTTCTTATTTTTGAAACAAATCTTATGTTCTTCAAAATTTACTGCTTTTCTGGGTATTTAGCCCAAATGGGTAGCTCAATTCTGGTTTATGAATGAATCATTCTTTCGGATAATTATTAAACTTATGTGGGTATTTTTGGATATGTAAATTTGGTTTATGAAACACTCTTATGTCATGAAAATTGGCTGCCTTCTGCAATTAATTGCTTGAAAAAGAGAAAATGTTTATAATTTTGCTTTTACAGGAGATAATTTGATGCACCAATCTGTGTCACTTTTGCATGTTAAGGATCCCTTGTTTAAGAGAATGGGAGCATCTAGATTAGCCCGTTTTGCTATCGACGGTATTTCCTTTTCCCCTAATATTAATTTTGTGACAAGTTTGGGATATGTTTATACATTCTATTGTTTTGATGTGAGTTCTGCTCTTAAAATTTCGTGCATTATGCCCAAAGAATAAAGCATTTATTGATGAAAGTTATTCTTACCTCTTATTTTGTATGATAGCCGATCAGATTTCTTTTCTGAAACAAAACATTTTTGTTGAATGATGTCTGCTGAAACCCATGTAGGATGATACTGAGAGGGAATACTAGATGTTTGTTGAACATGAGGATTCCACTCATGACCAGAAGATTGTTTTCCTGAGTTATAGACTTCTCATGGCTTCTGTTGGATGTTCCTTTGATCTTGTCCTCCTCAGTCCTATCTTGTAACATTAATCTAGGATTCTGTAACCTTAGTTCTTTCTGAAGCTTTTAGCAATTTAGGTCAGTGATATAGAGATTCAGATAAGTTGTTGCAGTGAGAGTTTGCAGTTTTGCTTTTACTCCTACCTTGTGCTGATTATGAAAGTGGAGCTTAACTTCAAGACTATAGTAATTAGAAGTGAATCCTATATATTGTTTTTCTTAATTCTAAACTAGAGTAGCTAACAACAATGGTGCATGACCCTGCAGCAAGGCTGTTGAGTAAAGATGGTTTGCTGACATCATTAATACGAATAACTCTCTGCTTCCATTTTTTATCATAGATCAAAGAAGGATGAAGATAGTGGAGATTGGTGGGGCTCAAGAGCTCTTAAATATGTTGGGATCTGCTACAGATGAACGCACACAGAAAGAAGCTATGAAAGCTCTTAGTGCACTGTTGAAGTCAGGTGAAAATGTATTTGCATTGTTTTACTTATGAATACCATACTGGTTCCATTTCAAGACTTTTGTTTGAAGCATATTTGCAAGCATCAAAGCTAATTATTAACTGAGCTCAAGTAGAACTGCCTATTTGTTGTTTCTTGTCCCTGTTAATAATATTAGAAATGCAAGATGCTTGAGGTGTCTAAAGAAGTTTATGAGGTTATTAGCCCGTTACTATGTTATAGAAGTACAATGTGAGAAAAAAGTATGACATAAAAAAGGAGAAAAGTGGAGGAAAAAAGGCTTGTAATTAAAAAGGTATATGATTTATATATATCCGAAACTTATTCTGTGACTATGGTGGTCAATCATTCCATACTTTTTCTGGGTTGGATTAAACGTGGAATTAGTGCACTTTACAGTTTTCCCTAGTCATTTAAGTTATCTGATGAGGTTTGATTTTCTGCCTTGTCTGGTAACATAGATGGTAGTCATCTGCATTCTAGTGGATACTAAGAAAAAAAATTACCTCTCCATGACCTGAGGATATCTACTTTTTAAAATTAATTCAGTTCTCATCTTTTACCTGGCATTACTAAGAGTTTTCACATGAAAGGGCCTGCCTGCTTTGAGTAGTTTTCAAATTCTTGATATGCAAATATTATTTTGAATATTAGGCACAAGTCTTTCAGTTTAGCTACACATACGTTCCAACAGCACTTTTTATGCCCTTTGCTTTTTGATCTTAAAAAGCAATACAGCAAGGATGCCACTACTCAACGAGAATTATTTTTCCTTTTTGTTTTCTGACTTTTTAACTTACTTTCTGTTGTTGCAGATGAAGCAGTGAAAGCTTTCAATCTCAGTTATAAAGTCTACTCCAAACACCTTCGAAGATGCCGAAATTGGGATAGAGAAATCAAACTTACTGAAAAGATTTCAAGATTTGAGATATGATATTTCGTCTTGAGAAGTTTTAACTCTTTGATTTTGGAGTTGAAGACCAATTAGGGAAATTAACCTTAGCATTGATAGCAATCCCTATTTCATAGGAGCAAATGAAAATTTTAGTGCATCTTTTTGTTGATCGTAGATTTCAAAACTCACACTTTGTGCCTTTGGCTTTGTTTCCAATATGCCGTTTCTTTCATATTTACTTAAGTAACTTCATTGTAGGCTTACATCACAAAATTCAGTGGATTAACCTAAGGAAATATGAAAATTTTTTTCCGGCGTTACAGCCTTTTTTCATTACCTTAATAACTTGTCATGTGGTTGATTTAAACAGTTAAATTAACATTGGAGAGTGTAGCAGGAGCAGGGACCTTAAGGGATCCACCTGTTCTGGTCCTGCATTTCTGTGTGAATGCCATCTTTCATCTAAACATGGAAACTGATCATCTGGAGCAAGTGAATTGTTTCTTCTTCATCCTGTATGATTGAAGTGATAACCTTCATAGTTAGAATTACAGTTAAAATATGTTAGATTTTTTGTGCAGTTTCTGCTTTCCTTTTTGGCAGCAATTCCTTAGTCTCAATCTCTGTGTTGGTATCAGATTTATTATACTTGTTGATGCTGGGCTTTGTTGAATGAATAAATGATTGTATGTAACAGCAAAACTCAGTACAAGACTGCAAGTAACCAACACAAAATTCACAAATTACATTAATTAAGTTTGATCTCACCATTTTTACCTCTTTCAGTGTTGGAATCACCCTCCCCTTGGATATTCAATGGTAATTAAAAAGCAAAACAAACAGGAGCAAGTCATTACTGTTCAAAACGATCTGTGACACCAAATTAGCAAATTTGATGTGGCAATGATAGACCTATATACGAGCATTAACCAGCATATAATATGATAAATGATACGGAGAGAAATATAACTTTAACATCTGTTTGCAGATGAATTCATAATCTATCTCCATTCATTTATCAACATGAGATATGTTTATTGCTTACACATTTTGAAGAGACATGATTTTAAGCTGCTATATTCTAATTGATGAAACAAATGAGAAAAGGAAGGATGCACTAGAATACAAGCACCTCTAGAAAAAAAGGTCTGGAAGCAAGCCATGACCTGTTTCAGGTGAAAAAGCTGTATATGTTGGTGGAAATGGCTATCGTGCTTGCTATAGCAGCCAAAACAATCATTAATGCAGACATAATCCTATCTCTTGCCGTCGATATGCCATGAACATCCCTGTAATTGAAAACGAAAAGGAACAGACTTATCAGCAATGTCTTCAAGTTATAGAAAAGATGCATCCAAAGTTCTTAGATAGAGAGAATACCTAAGAGCAATAGCACCGGGGAAGATGAAGGCTAGGCTGACTGCAGAGGTTGATCCCATGAATTGAAAGAAATACCATATGTTAGGGATAGCTATCGCCGCCAAGTAACAGATGGCTAGCAGGAGAAGAGTGAGGGAAATAAATCTGGTGTTGTCTTTCGCCAGAATAGGACAATTTGGAAAAAGGAATTCATCGATGTTGGCCCTCAATGAGAAGTTTAAGAGAGGAAACACTAGCATGAGGTGAAGGGCATAGCTTAAGCGAACTACGTCATTGAGCACAGAACCGAGTGCTGAACCAGAATTTCGGTCAAAATTAACAAGTATATCAGACATGATCGAATCGCCAAAAAGTAGGTATCCAAAGACCCCGACTGTAAAGTAGATAGCACCACATAGTATTAGTGAAATTCGGACCGCTGACATCATATCTGAAGGTTTGTCCATTTCAAAACCTATCGGATGAACTGCATTCATACATTAAAGACATATATGAGAATGTCTGGGACAAGAGCTTCTTACTTACCTAATGTGTCATGAAAGAACTAGCATGGAACGATTCACTTATAAGAATGCTAAACAGCCAGAGTGCGCTTACCATTGAAATGAAATGTGAAAGCTGTTACTATTACTGGGAAAGCAGTGAAGAGTTCAAAAAATGAGGCTTTGTTGTCCAAGTGGGGCAGCAGCCTCGGGCTTTCTGTTTTCCCTTGGAAGAGTGCATAAATTGCCATCACTGAACTGATGGCAACAAACAGTACAGCAAGAAAAACTGCTATTGCTGAACTGAACCTCAATGATTCTGCACATTCAGGTAAATTTGAATCGATATCATAACATAAACAGTTACTCGGAGAATATGGAAACAGGGAACGTCTTTCGGAGAAAAACTCACCTACACGCCTAAACAAAACCAATGGAAGCATAATGAAAACAACAATGAAGAGGATTGCAAAAGCACGGGAGTTCCACCAGTGAATGCCAAACCATTCTTGTAAAACGCCCAAGTGCACTGATCCTTCAGGTTGATTTCCTGAGAGAACATCCCCTGAAAAAAAAAAAAAAAACAGTTTTAAAGATCAGAACATTTATAATGACAGCAAAAACACTGGATTAAAGCATGAAATCTCCATCATAAGCTTTAAGAAATCACAATCTAAATTCAGGAAATTCCAATTTTTGTGCTTGCATATCCTTTCCTGTTAAGGTAAAATCTAACTTGGCATATTAGGAATTTGATCAGCCTATTAAGGTAAAGGAAGTGAAAAGTTCTTTGGTAACTTGAACAATTCAAATAGTTTTAGACCCTTTATACATATTCTGCAGAGCTAACTTTGACCATTCAAAAAGCTTATGACACTTGTCCAGAACTTCCATAGGTTCACAGCTATTCCTCAATAAAATTAGCTAAGCTCGACACGCTTCAACACCATGAATAATACATTTTCTTCCTTCAAAAACATGATTTATTGCTACGGTTCTCTCAAACTGAACTTACCTATAATAATCAAATAAATGATCAAGCAACCAAGATTGTTTATCATGACACATATTTGCATCAGGATTGATCCCACCCGCCCAAACGACTCCTTCATGACACCTGCATAAGTGGTTGAATTCCCAGCATGTGTATACCTCATCAGATATTCAACAGAGACATCTGCCAGCCAAGCTATAACCACTATCAACAGAAATGCTGGGACTACTCCTAGCACCTTGAGAGTTGCCGGGATTGACATAATTCCAGCACCAATAATGCTAGTGGACACATTGAACACAGCACCAGGTACCGATGTATGTTTTGCTGGTGGCTTGTTCTCCTGAAGGAGTGGTGCGTTTACTCCGGTGATAGCTGAAGCCATATTCGATGATGAGTTTTTCTGGCTAGAGGAATTGTTAGTCTGTTGTCTTGTTGTGCATAATTACACATTTAAATGTGACAATAGTTTGACATAGTAAGGCAGTGTAATGACCAAACTCTCATCGGAAGACAGGACATGCTATTTAATTTAGGATAACTTGATGAAGGGTAAGATGGAATCAGACTTGATCAAAGATCAGCGAGAATCTTTTGAGTAGAGAATAGGCTGGATGTGGGGTCATGCTGTCTTTATCCTATTCCATAAACGAATAAGTGGCGAATGGTATTTTAAGCTATATGAGATTGAAATTTCTTCTGACAAAAGTGGAAATCTGTGGAGGAACAGGTCCTTCAGTCGCATGGGACAAAAACTAATAAGGTACAGGAGGTTATAAAATGAGTTTTGTCCTGCATGTGCATGACGTGAGAATTTTCTAAGAAAAAAAATGAGAACATATCTAGTATACAATACAATGAACGCAAACCCCACCAAAATTACCATTTTACCCTTCCAAGTTTTTCCATCAGTTTGATACTTGTCCTAAAAGACGACAATGCCCTCCTATATGGCAAATGACAAAAATACTCCTTTTTTAAATGATAAACTTTTATAATACCCCTCTTTTCTTAAATGATAAAAATATCTTCTTTATAAATAGCAAATCAGTATAATGTCCATTTATGTTTAAATGATGAAAATGCCTCTCTTGTAACAATTACAAATTATTATGATATTTTTATATCATAATTACAAAAATATGTTTTTTTTAAATGACAAAAATACCTTTCATATAAATATCAATATGCCTTTTATGTGTTAAATGATGAATATACCCCTCTTGTAAATGACAAAATACTATGATATCTTTATATCATAATTATGAAAATGTCTCTTATATTATAATTGACTAACATTATTATAATGTTCTCTCATTACTTAAATGACAAAAAAACCCCTCTTATAAATATCAAATCACTCTAATACCTTTTATATTTTAAATAACGAAAATATCCTTTATGTAAATGATAAATTATTGTGATATTCTTATGTCATACTTACGAAAATACTCTTTATCCTATAATTGGTTAAAATTATTATAATATCCTTCCTACTATGATTATAGAAATTTATCCCTATTACCATGATTGACCAAAATTGCAATAATGTTTTTCTATCATAATTATGAAAATGCCTTTGTATCAAAATTGGTTAAAATAACTATAATGCCCCTTACTATAATTACTAATCAATCATTATGATTGCTTTATAAGAAGCTAACATGTACTATTTAATTTGAAAATTAATATAATATTCCTTCAATTTACATATTAAATTTTAACATAATAATATAAAATTAATTACATATTAAATTACTAAAATATTTTTATCATCGTTTTATAGAAATTTGTCGTGTGAAATTTTATTTGAAAATGTTTATAATATTCTTATTAAATTAGATATATTAAATTTTAACATAATATAAAAAATTAATTATGTATTAAATTGCTAATCTTGTTAAGATTATCAAAATACCTCTATGGTTTTTTTGATTAAGAGTTGACACGTCTCCTAAATTATTATAATATCATTTTATCATAATTACAAAAATATCCTTCTTATCATAAATTAGTTGAAATTATGATGATGCCCCTCTTACTATAATTTGGCAAATGATGCACTTATTACTATAATTATGAAAATATTCTTCATACCATAATTTTTTAAAATTATTATAATATCCCTCTTACCATAATTATAAAAATACTCCACCAAAATTACATTAATACCCATTTGATTATTTCATAATTCATTGACACATGGCATTTTATGTCACCCTTATCAAAATTTAAAAAATGCCTTTCTATATCTATTTAATTATATCATGTAAATTACTATAATGCATTTTTTGTCATAAATAACTAAAATAAGTATACTTCCACTTCTATTATAATGACGAAAAAATCCTTCCTACCTTAATTAGTTAAAATTACTATAATGATCTTTTACCATAATTACGAAAAAATCCTTAATATTATACTCGGTCGAAATTACTATAATAATCTTTTATCATAATTATGAAATATACTTTTAATTACTTCATAATTACATATTAAATTTTAACATCTATATAATAATATGAAAGTACTTTCCCTAAAAACGACTATAATGCCCTTCTAAATACTTGTCATTGTATGACACATATAAATTGATTGTAATACCCTTACTCTATAATCAACTAAAATTACTAGAATGTCCCTCCGATTATAATTACTCAAATGCCCTTATATCATAATTGTTTAAATTGTTATAATACCCCTCTAACTATAATTATGAAAATGCTCTCCCATAATCATCACCAAAACTATTATAACACCCCTCCTATCATAGTAAAATTAATGATTTTTTCTTTAAAGAAATTAAGTTAAATAGGTGATGATATTAGTGACCTTTAATTTCATGGATAAATGAGTTTGAATTTAATAATTGATCAATATTAATAATAAATAAATATTATATTGGAAGATAGATTATCATATATGTATTATTAATTTAGGTTTAATTTATACAATTTTTAAAAATTGTCTTCCTTATTTAAAATAAAAGTGAACACCTGTCCAATTGTAATTAAGTGATATAAGTAGAGTATTGGTTTTTTTATTTGAAAAGATTATATTTTTCAAAAAAATAAAATATAAAAAATAACAAAATACTAAAAATATTTAATTTTTTAATTTAATAATAAATTAAAAAATAAAAATTTATATTTCATAAAAATAAAAAAACATTTTATAACCCGAACGTGACCGGCTTATTTTTTTAGTATATTATATAGCGGATCACACAAATTAAAGAAAGATATTTCTTCAGAACGGATCCATTATCTAATTAATTGCTGCCATTATTGTAGTCCATTATTGTATAACCCCTCTGGAACATGGTAGTGATTAACATATATCAAGGTCAACATCTCGTCTCTTTATCTTTATCTTTATCTTTATCTTTATCTTTTTTTTTTTTTTCTTTTAATAATGACAATAATTCAAGGCCTACCTTGTCTTATAGCCAGACTTTTTTCGTACATATGATATTGCAGTATGAGATAAATATTTTTTTTAAGTGTTGGTATTTAAAATTTTAATTTATTGAATATTATTTGTGATTATATAAATTAATTGAGATAAATTTTAATTTGTTATTATTAAACTTTTTTAATGATAGGAGTGCAAAGCAACCTTTTATGACTCCAAAATTTTCAATTATACACTTAAGAATTAAAATTTGTTTAGTAAACTGTTATGGTTTGAACATGGAATTAGATAAGTATCAATTATCTAAAGCAATCAGAAGCAAAAAAAAAAAAAATATGTGGCCAAAAAAAAGAAATGTTTTTTTTTTTTTTTAAACATTCAATATGCTAGTGGGCATGCTTCCCGCACTGTTGGCCGATGCTCATCCTGAATTCATCACCTGGTGTTTTGGATTATGATCACAACCGGCATCGAAATTTATTTAAAACAAGGTGGAATTTACTCCTATCAAAAGGGGAGTAGTGTATTTTTGAAGAATGAGAGAGGCAAGGAGAAAACAGAAGTTTTCAGTTGGGGTCCCATTCAAGTACATAGCAGAGTGTTTGAATTACCATAAAATCAACTCAGGAATCCATTAGTATATTAAGAGAGATAATCAAGAATATTTAACTATTTAATTAATTATTCTTAAAAAAATGATTAATTATGAATTCACGTCGCCAAAAGTGGAGCGAGCCCACTGGCATCAGTTTCAGTTTGCTTCGTGCTGTATTAGGGCTTGTTTCTTTGTTCTTTACAGAATTATAGGTTCAAATACATTTGAATCATGTTCTCATTATTTTTTGACATAAGAAGGAAAATAGGGTTGCTAAATAATTCTCGTAAGCTTGGAAAACAAAATTTCATAAACAATAAAATAATGAATAAATTTGGTTTAACTAGCTCAATTTTTTTTTTTTTTATCATTAACTAGGAGGAGGTTGAGGGTCATGGAGGGAGGGTAAGGATCATCTCCATGTGCTTTCTCTAAAATCACTTTCTCTCTTAAAATCTTTGATTTCACAAATCAAACATCCTCTAAAGATTTCACATATCCATAATCAAAAAATAATTCTTTCCAAATCCAATCCCAATCCAAAACAAGTTAAACCAAATTTCATTAATCACGTTAAACAAATGAAATCATCTAACCTTTGCAGATGTTTCATATGAGTTAAATCCAATCCCAAATACAAAAGACGACATTCATTCGAACAATCTCTATCTCTCAAAACCTTCTTCGTTTCAATCGATGCTATCAAAACTTTTCTCGTTTACAATCAACAACTCTGAGGGTTTTAACTTAAGGTTTGATGCTGTTATTGGGTTAGGGTTTGAGATTTCAACAGACTAGGAAATGGTGTTAGGGATTTGGGATTCAATTGGTTAGGAAATGGGGTTATGGATTTGGAGTTTTAATTAAATTTGGATTTATGATTGCGGGGTTTTTTTTAATCTTAATTAAGAAGAAAAAAGTTTTATTTTTTGTTAATAGAAATTATGAAAAAATCTTAGAAATTTTTTTGCCATGTGGTATTATTTTTTACATGTCAGCATCATGAACCTTTTTAAGCAGCCACAAAAGCCTAGTCAACGTACACTTCAGTGGGTGAAAATCCATGTCATTGATTTTAATGGTGATAAATTGACACCGTTTATAATTGGAATGAGATTGTTAAGTCAAAATAGTAAAAAGACTAAATTTCTATGAATTAAAGTAGAGAGATTAAATTCTAAAATTTTGTATAGTATAGGGATCTTTGGCATAATTTAACCATTAATTTTTAGTTCTTAAATTTTATGGATTATTTGGATTATTTTTTCGATTATCTTAGATTAATTTTTATTTTTCATTTTTAACGTGGACTATCTTAGTTTCTTCATATAAAAAATGTATAAAAGTAGATTATAATATCATTTATTCTCTTCCTCATCATAGGCCATCGTAGATGTGTTATATTGTATGAAGTTCATGCCATCACTTATTATCCTTATATGAGAAATACATAGGACAAGATAAGTTTATGATCTCTACATGATGAGGAATGTTAAATGGTGATTAATAAATCCCACATCTATGACATTAATTACTATATAGTATTAGTAGTACATCTTTAAATATAAATGAGGCATATTTTTCTTTTTTTATAATTGATTTAAAGTTGTATGTGTGGTAGCCCTAATCATCATTTGATCAGTTTTTACCTTGATATAGAAGATTAAACAACACATCTATTTGACAAAATAGAAGTAATTGTAGGAAATATAACCAAAAACTAAATGAGTCTCCTTAAGGTTTTCTCTATGGGAGGTAATAA